AACGGCTTGTTTCAAAACAAGGTCGTACGCTCTTTGGCTCTCTTCCGCTGTTTTTCGCTTCATAGGTTGAACCCAGAGATAGCGCGATAAGACGTCAATGACAAACATAAGCCAGGCATAACCATCATTATCTTTTTTATGCCACTGCATATCCGAAAAATCAATTTGCCACTGATCATCCATTCCATGCACTACAAATGGGCGTCGTTCATATTTTTTAGGGGCGGGGCGGTGCATTGCTTCCAACCAGGACTTCATTTGCTTTTCTTTGTCCTTCTTTTCTTGGATTTTAGGGTTGGTGGGTGTCGGTTTTATACTTGGGCTCTTGTCGGGGTGGTTGTGTTTGAGCCAAGGCTGCAGACCGGCGTAGGCGGCGGGTTGCTTGGCGCCAGCGGTAAAGTACGATTTGAACCATTGGTCTTGTTTTTGAAGCTGCTGTTTGTTTTTCTTGGGGATTAGTTTTCTTYCCCCCTCCATGGTCAGTGATAATGATTTGTCCTCCGCAGCACGAAAATAGAAAACAGCGAGTTTTTTGACTTCCTCCTTCGTTGTGGTCAATGCAAAGTGGGGTTGGAGAAGACGAGAGACACTGCTTTAAAAGGCTCCACGCACGACTCATTTTCAATCACTTGATCAGAAGAAATAAGATGGAGGATGTTTTGTCTTACAATCCGCGATGGAAAACTCCGTTAAACGTGATGGTGGTAGGACCTGCTTTGGCCGGAAAAACGACCTTTATTTATAGATTGCTTCGTCACCGTAACTGGCTCATGGACCGACCTCCTAAAAAAAATGTCTATTGTTATGGGGCGTGGCAACCTTTATTTGAACAAATACGCGATGAATTTGAAGTACAGTTTGTSGAAGGGTTACCCGAAAAACCGTACGACTATTTTGTCAAACCTGAACACCGACCTGGATTAATTCTGTTGGATGATTTAATGAGTGAAATGTGTAACAATACAAGTATAGAAYAATGCTTTACCAAAGGAACTCACCATTACGACGTCACGCTTGTGGCATTATTGCAAAACGTATTTCCCAAGGGAATGCGGACCGCTTCAGTCAACGCTCACATTCTGGTCTTGTTTCCCAACCCCAGGGATAAATTACAAATTCAAACGTTGGCCCGTCAAGCGTTCCCTGGCCAATGGTCCTGGGTCAAACGCGCTTTAACTGAAGTYAAACGTCACCCTTATGAACCAATCGTATTGGATTTTCAGCAACAAACCCCGGATGCTTATAGAATAAGAACAGATCTCTTTCCCGAAGACCTTTCAGT